CCCAAAACAATTGTCTTGTTTCCTTATTTAGTAATCGTAGTCCTCACTTTATAACAAAATTATTCATACTTTTCCAAATTACCCATAATTGTTACTATAACCTACTTTTTAAAATTCTTCAAAAAGTAAAAGACTAGTCTTTTATATTCTATTTTATACTCACTTTCAATTAAATATACTATTATTCCTTAATTCCCGTGCCAACTCCCAACAAGACACTTCTTCTGGGACGGAGGGAGTATATCATGCCATAATACTATACAAACAAACCAAATGTTTGATGGGATACACTACAAAAAAATAATATATTTGTAAGAGAATTACATCCCTAAAATTCATGTAGCTAACGTAATTTCATCTCTAATTTCGTCTCTAATGTCATTAGTAACGAAAAAAATTGGATTTAAAGACGAAAAAACCTTGTTACAAAAATAATATTTTCTTTTAGTGATGTTTTGTGATAGAAAAAAGTGTATTTTTTTTTTCAAAAAATACTCCCTCCGTCCACACAATAAGTATACATTTACTTTTGGTGCGGAGTTTAAGAAATAATAGTATTTTAATTATAGTGGGTAGGTAAATGTAGTGTAATGACATTTTTGCCCTTACTTTTTGGTATAAAAGTAATGATGTGATGTAAAATAAGGATATTTGTGGAAAAAAATAAGGTATTTAATGAAATGGTTACTTTGTAATTGGACGTCCTAAAATAAAAATATTTATACTTTGTAGCTGGACGGAGGGAGTAGTATATTTGTAAGGGAATTACTCCCTAAAGTTCACATAGCTAACATAATTTCATCTCTAATTCCGTCTCTAATGTCATTAGTAACGAAAAAATTGAATTTAAAGACGAAAAAACCTTGTTACAAAAATGATATTTTCTTGTAACGATATTTTGTGATAGAAAAAAGTATATATATATATTTTTTAAAAATAGAGTGCATATAGTAAAGTTTGTAAATTTTGGTATACAGAAACACATTATTATTATTATTATTATTATTATTACTATTATTATTATTATTATTATTATTACTATTATTATTTCCATCCATAGGTAATAGCACAATATTTTCCAAAGTATATATAGCTAAATTAATTAAATAGCATATATATGACCTATTTCGAACAGCATATTGCATGCTCGTGGAAATTTGATATGATCTTTCTAAGTATCCCAAAAGTTTTTGAGAAAAATATATTTTTATTGAGCAAGCTGTATGTATATACAAGAATAAAATCAAGTTTAATTTGGTTTTGAGTTCCACAACTTTTATTAATTGTGGTTAAGACATAACATATCGATATTTAATTAATTATATATGAGGATAGTAGAGAATAAATTAAATTATTTTGAGAGCAATAATGGAGATGAAAATTAAAATGCAGAGCAAAGTCAGCCAATCTAATATTATATATATATAATGGATTGTATTTATTAATATATATTATCAAGTGGGAAAGGAAATGCATACATGCATGCAGTGGGATTCACCATCATCACTTATTCACTGCCCATATTTAACATATATATATATATATATATAATAATAATAATAATAATATTTAGTGTTAATTGATTGGACTTTATTATTTAATTAGATAATATATAGAAATGTTGAATTAATAAACACTAATAAATAAATAATTGCAATTAAGCCTGCTATGGAGATTCTGTGAAATCTTGAATATGCGGGATCAATGATGCATACGGACTCCCGGGATCACAACGCCAGGCCGCCTCAATATACCAGAATGACCCCTTGCAATAAATTTACAATAAATTTTCGATATTTTCTCTACAAAAATTATTACAATAGGGTGTGTTCGTTTGTAAAATTTTGTTAAAATTCTACTATTCATCCAATTTTTTTCCCCCAAAAATATCAAATCAAACGCCTATTTTTCATTTTTTATATTATACTAAAAATTAATTTTACATTCAAAACATCACATCAACACCTATTTATATCACATCATACAACTATTCAAATTCAAAATTTTTACTATTCAAATCTCAACTCAAAATCCAAACCCCCAAACAAACAAGAATATTATACTAATTTATTATCCAATGTTAGCTCAATCATATATTATTATATAATTTATTATCCAATATCTAATAAATCAAAATATATATAAAAATTTATTATATAATCACCAAATTAATATAAGATTATTTTCAATTAATATCATAATTAAAGTATATCACCCTCCCTTAATTATGATATTCCGCCGAAGTCATCCCAAGCATTTTCCTCAACTTCACAAATGATTCATGCTTCAATGGCTTTGTAAAAATATCGCAACTTGATCTCAGACTTACAAACCTCAATTCAATCTTCCCTTCGTTCACGGCTTTACTCGTGGATGCAGCAACATACTCAACTTCACAAGTTGATAGAGCCACAATAGACTGCTTTTTCGAAGACCAGGAAATAACAGTAGATCCATAAATAAAAACAATTTCTGGTAGTACTCTTTCGATCTTCAAGATCTCTTTCCCAATCGCTATCGAAAAATCCAACAAGAGAATTGCTAGACAATGAATAAAAAAGACCATAATCATGAGTGCCCTTTAAATACCTCAAAATCCTTTTAGCAGCTTGAAGATGCGATTGACGTGGAGATTCCATGAACCTGCTAATTAGCCCAACACCATAAGTAATATCCGGCCTCGAACATGTGAGATATCGTAAGCTTCCAACAATTTGTTTGAAATATGTCGGATCGACAACAGACTCATCTTCACTTTTCATCAACTTGGTGCCAACCTCCACTAGAGTTCGTGCAACATTGCAATCTTGCATGTTAAACTTTTATAATATTTTAGAAAGGTACTTCTGTTGGGCAACAAAGAACCCATCATTTCTTTGAGTAATTTTGATGCCAAGAAAGTATGGCATCAAGCCTATGTCGGTCATATCAAACTCGCGCGTCATGGATAATTTAAAATCCTCAATCATGCGAGGATTGTTCCCTGCAAAAATAAGATCGTCAACATATATACACAACACCAACTTATCTCCAGTAGGAGTGACTTTGACAAAAAGAGCATGTTCACTTAGAAATCTTTGAAATCCAATTTTGGAGAAGAATGAATCAATCCGCATATTCCATGCTCGCGGGGCTTGTTTGAGTCCATACAAGGCCTTCTTCAATTTATACACCTTGTGTTCACTTTCATGCGATTGAAATCCGGGAGGCTGCTTCACGTAAATCTCCTCTTGAAGTGGACCGTGCAATAATGCGGATTTTACATCCATCTGATGTATATTCCAACAATTTTGCGTAGCTAAGGCTATCAACAACCGTATCGTCTCCATTCGAGCTACATACGCAAATACTTCTTAAAAGTCGAATCCGGGCCTTTGTTCATAGCCTTTCGCCACAAACCTCGCCTTATACATTTCTATTTCTCCATTTTCCTTCAACTTCCTTTTAAAAACCCACTTGACATCGATGGGTTTGCAACCATATGGAGCATCCACAAGCTCCCAAGTATGATTTCTTTCGATGGAACTCAACACCTCTTCCATAGCTTTCAGCCATTTACTATTTTTCATTGCATCGTCAACCGAGGCAGGTTCGCAATCTGCATACAAAGCCATATGCATAATTTCTCCATCATTAGAAATGACATCATCAGAAGTTACCTTATAGTCATGTAGTGTGACTATGAAGTTGTTGCTGACGCCTTGGCCTTTCGTCAAAAGTATTGGCTTGTGTCGGTCTTTAATTGGAAGTATTAGCTTGTGTAGTTTCTTCAACCATACTATGAATTCCACCTTGAGAAGCACCTTCAAATAATTCAACAGATCGGCTTTGAGTGGCTTGAGGCAAACTCCAACTCTATGTTTCATCCTCCAGAAAAATGACATCCCTACTGATGATGACTTTATTTGTTGTTGAGTTAAAGACTTTGTATCCACCATGCGCATAACCCACAAAGATGGCCTTTTCTCCACGATCATCTAGCTTTGTTCGAGTGGCCGCCGGAATATGTACATAGACCATGAAACCAAATACTCTAAAGTGTTGAACTTTAGGTTTGATTCCGGACCATGCTTCTAACGGCGTCAAGTCACGAATAGCTTTTGTTGGACGATTCAACAAATACACCGAACAAGTGACAGCTTCTCCCCAAAAGGAATTCGGCAACCCTTTGGCTTTCAACATGCTTCTTGACATATCCAAGATGGCTCTATTCTTCTACTCCGCAACTCCATTATGCTGAGGAGTGTAAGGTGGAGTTATATGATGCTCGATTCCATAATCCTCTAGAAAACTCTTGAACTCGGAAGAAATATATTCACCGTCACCATATGTCCGTAACCTCTTTATAGAAAAACCACTTTGTTTTTCTACATGAGCTTTAAATTTCATAAAGCTTGTGAACACTGCATATTTCTTAGGTAACAAATAAACCCAAATCTTTCGAGAAAAATCGTCAATAAATGTCAAGAAGTACATGTTGTTGCCATAAGATTCAACAATCATCGGGCCGCAAACATCGGAGTGAACAAGACCTAATAAGTGATTCGCCCGCCAATTATTTTCAGTTTTGAATGGTCGCCTACTTTGCTTTCCTGAAATGCATGCTTCACACACTTGATTGGGGTGATTGATCTTTGGCAATCCTTTTGCCATATTCGTTTAAGCAAGCATTTTCAAGCTTTGAAAATTCCAATGACCAAAGCGAAGATGCCATAACCAAGACTCATCTTTCACCATTACATTAAGACATGTATACACATCGCTAGGAATATCAACATGAAACATACGATTCTTTGTTAAAGTGGTCTTCAAAATAAGTGTACCTTTTCTGTCGAGAATCAAATCACGCCCTTTAGAATGCATTTCATACCCTTTCTCCAACAATTGGCCCATGTTTAGAAGATTACTTTTCATAGCAGGCACGTAGAAGACCTCCGATATGAAACTGTGATCTCCATTCCTTAACTTAATAAGGATGCATCCTTTCCCCATAATCGGAACTATACTATGTCGGCAAACATAACTTGAGATCGGACTGATTCATCAAGTTCAACAAAAAGCTCGCGCTTACTGCACATGTGATTTATACACCCGGTATCTAGAAACCATGTATGAGAGTTTGACACTTCATTGGTTGAAGTAACCATCAAAAGAGCATGGCCATGATCATCTTGATCGTCATAATCTTGCGCATAATGCGCCTTTTCGTCAATTCCTTTGTATTTGCATTCATTAGAATAATGACCGAATTTATGACAAGTATAACACTCAACATGTGACTTGTCAAACCTTCCTTTGTTCCGACCACGCCCTCGACCACGATCTCCATAATTTTGACCTCTTTGATGGCTTTGATTGGAATGATCAAAATTATTCCATGCTGCCCCAACTTTTTCATGTCGATATTGTATGCTATGGTGACCACCACGGCCACGTCCTCTTCCACGTGAATTGCCACGACTTGTAGCTTCATCGCTTTGTTTGGTATTAAGCGTCACCGAACCTTGGAAGGCTTGCTCAATTGGCTTCTCCATTTTTTTTTCATTCATACGCTGCTCATGGGCTTGTAATGTGCCCGATACTTCATCAACAGTCATTGTGGATAAATCGTGAGCCTCTTCAATGGCTACGACAATATGCTCGAACTTTGCCGTTAAAGTTCGCAATATTTTCTCCACCTTGGCTTGTTCACTAAAACCATCTCGATATGTCTTCATTTGATTTGTTAAAGTCAAAAGACGACTTACATACTCTGCCACCAACTCCGATGGTCCCATCTCCAGAAGCTCATATTGTCGTCTCAATGTTTGTAACCGCACTTTCGTAACCTTCACATCACCTCTATATGTCGTCATCAATGTATCACATGATTGCTTTAATATGGTGGCTCCAGCAATTTTCTCGAACACTTCATAGGTAACGCTTTGATGAATAAGATATAGAGCTTTTTTATCTTTTTTCTTATTCTCTCGATTGGTTGTTTGTTGTGCAGCCGTTGCACCCTCCGGCAATGCTGGAATACCTTCTTCAACAATATTCAATAATTTATGAAAATCGAAAAGCACCCTCATTTGGACGGTCCATCGATTAAAATTTTTTCCATCGAGAACCGGCGCGGAAAAAGGGATCGAGCCGTTCATGGCTTTGGCTCTGATACCACTGATAGAAAATTAACAAAATATGGAATAATAAAGGAGGAAAATAAACTTTATTTCTCGATATTTTTTCTACAAAAACTACTACAATATATATAAATATATATAATGGATAAACAAGAATATTACTAATTTATTATCCAATATTCCCTCAATCATATATTATTATATAATTTATTATCAATATCTACTAAATCAAAAAATATATATCAAAGCACCAAATTAATATAGGATTATTCTGGATTAATATCATAATTAAATTCTATCAATTTAATTTTAAATTAATTATTTTGTTGTATATTCATTTTTCTCGTGCAACTAATATGTTAATGAGATCATAATTCATATCTATAATCTATAAACTGAATAAAAAATTAAAGAGAGGCCGTAATATATAAATACAATAATAAAAAATACATATTAATTTGGCGCTTGGAAAAACAAGTTCACATAGAAAAATAAAAAGGAGTAATAAATCATCATTCAATTCATTTAATTTAATTTTTTGACGACCCCCTCCAATCCCATGGATCATTGGTCCGGGAGCTCCCAAGTAGAAAGACAAGTGAAAGTGGTGTGGTGTGGTGGTACAAATCAAAGGAAAGATTAATAAAGAAAGAGGTGGATAAGTACGTACGTAATCTCATCTCAATCTCAATCTCATATATACATATATCTATATATATATATATATATAAAGAGCATTTAATCAATATTTATTTGCTTTATACATTGGAAGATCGACAAAGTAAGTAAATAAATAGCAAAGGAGATCTCCAAATCCACAGGCTAATTGAATGCATTAAAAAATTAAATGTCTAAATTAAATTAAATATCATTTATTTTGAAAAAAATAAAATTTTAATAAAATAAATATATGATATTTAATTATGCACATATTTTAATTTATGTACAATAAATATCAATCATTAATGCAAAAATCGGCTTAAAATGGAAGATATCGTACAAAGATTGCATATATAAATGGAACCATAATGAATTTGACAGCAAAATAAATTAATCTTGTCAATAAATGAAGTATATAAATTAATATCTTCCGAAAAAGACAATGATATAAAGATCTTGTCAATAAATGAAGTATATAAATTAATATCTTCCAAAAAAGGCAATGATATAAAGATCTTGGCGAGAAAGGAATGTGCACAATCAAATCCGTTAAGAATGGAAAACGGCATCCGATGGAAAAGGAAGATTATAAAATCTTTCTATTGGCCAATCAGGACGCGCCACGTGGCACAATCCAAAAAGGAAGCCAAGGCCACCCTCCTCTATAAATAGGAGCCTTGGTCAATTCATTACACACCGAAGTTCATTTGAAGACTCGCATAAGGGCAAGTCTCTCTAGATTCTCTGCAGCGTTCTTCATTGTTTTTCGTGTCCTTCAAAGCGTTCTTCGTCGAAAAGTCACCGATTTGGACAAATGATCCAATATTGGTTGATGAATTGATGGAGTTAACGTTCTTCGTCATATGTCCGAGCCGGGGGAAGGATCAAAGCTCTCAAAGCCATTGAGGAATTCATCAAAGCCAAGGAAGAGCCTCCAAAGTCGCTTCCAAAGCTTCAAGATGTTCATCGCGTTCTTCATCAAAGGTGCAAACTTGGCCCTCTTCGATCCAAAAATCAAAGGGACACGCGGCCAAAAGCGTTATGGAGCACCTCATCTGACTCCTTCATCCATCTATCACAACTTGACGAGTATATCAAAGAAGCTCTCAAAAGTGAGTTTGAAGGAAGTTCAAGGCCAACAAATATCTGTGCCAAGCCTTACACTTCAAGTTTCGACACCCTCAAGATGCCGTTGGGATATCAACTGCCGAAGTTCCAACAATTTGATGGCAAAGGCAACCCAAAGCAGCATATGGCACACTTCATGGAAACATGCAACAACGCTGGGACATACGGCGATCTCTTGGTGAAGCAGTTCGTACGGTCATTAAAAGGCAATGCCTTCGACTGGTACACCGACCTGGAGGCTGGTTCCATCGACAGTTGGGAGCAGTTGGAGTACGAGTTCTTGAACCTCCAAAGTCGCTCCCAAAGTTTCAAGGTGTTCATCGCGTTCTTCATCAAATGTGCAAACTCGGCCCTCTTTGATCCAAAAGTCAAAGAGACACGCCACCAAAAGCGTTATGGAGTACCAAATTTACCCCTAAAAGATCAAATTCCGTCGGATCATCCAAATGAGGCATCAATCCAAAATCGACGATCAAAATCGCCAACACGGATACCAAAGCCCTCCAAAAGCCGGCAAAACCAAACCGAATACCAAAATCCTTTCAGATCAAAGAAGCCATCCAAATCCAAGTTGGAAAAATGGATCGACCCGGGAAGAGAATCAAAGGATCCGAATAGAGAATAGAACTCGCATATATTTAAATTAAATGTAATTTGTACGGTTTTGTATTTATAAAAATATAACACAATTTTATTTTATTTTTTTTGTCTACAGCACACCCTTGGCCAATTAAACTAAAATTTTGTAATAATAATTTCTTTTTTATAATCAAATATAGGGGTGATCATTATTTAATCTTTTCACTCTTGAGATGAGAGCATCAACCAGTGTTTTTAAAATACTACTTCATGATATCTGCATAAGATTGAAAAAGCACACAACTTAAGCATGTATTCAGAATTTAATAGCAGACATCATCAATGATCAGAAAATAAACACAACGTGCAGAAAACTAAATCAATGTTTGTCTTCACACCAACACATTTTCAGCAATTGATACATAGAAATAAATAGAATGCTATTTCAAAATTAGAACAACCTAAGAGGTTATGTTCTTTCGTGGGTTTCACTACAAATTTAGATTGTGCTTCTTTTAAAGTAGTTTGGGAGGTTTGAGTTTGGATTTGGATTTTTGTGTTTATTGTGTTTTTTAAGGGGATTTGAGTTTGGTTTTTATTTGAATTTTGGGATGGGTTAGAATTTTGATGTTTATTTTGTGTTTAGTTTTGATTGGAGTTTTGATGCGTATTGATTTGATAAGATAATGAATAAAATAATATAAATGTGTATTAAATTTAATTGCTAAGTTTATATTGTATGATTTGATTATAAATTTATATTATACCCAATATATATTTAAATTTTTATTTATTGTATTATAGAAAATTTTATTCTTTACAAAAATGACATATATATTGTATATACTTTTTTCCCTATAATTATAATAAATATTAAATTATATTTTAATTTTAAAAAAATAAAAGCTTCATATTACCGGGCGGACACTGGACAACCCCAATTTTGGGGTTAGTGTTTGCACAGTACAAATCCCAAAATTGGAGTGGAAGAAACACACCCTTAGTATTTTTTTTCCTAATATAGAAACAAATCTATAATACTACACAATAAAAAAAAATTATTGCTTGTGGAAACACTCACACTTATTTGCTTTTGTCTGGAAATTAAAGATTAATCCATTCCATTGCATCATATAAGTCACTAAATCTATTATCAACTGTTTTTCAAATGAAATCCATTCCATTAGATATTCAATGATGATTGACACAGAATAATTCAATGTAAAAGAAACAAAATTTGTTTACTGTAAATGATCATCTATTGTGTTTGATGTAAGTTACTTTTCCCAAACAACTATCATACCAATTTGAATTGGATTCAATTAGTGCACTTGTAAGCAATTGGATATCAACAGAGGTTTTGAAATCTTAAGAACATAGTACAGTTCCTTGTTAATGCTTGCATATTAACTCCTTGCATGATGGCCCATTTCAGAAACAATTATACGCCCGTCTAAATCAACCATCGCATTGTTAGGCCATCTCCAACCCATCAACTCCATATATCAAGTTTTAACTCTAAATATGTAGTTACTACAATAATTTTACTTCAACCATAACTCCATTTTTCACTATTATTCTACAAATATTCAAATTTTCCTATTATTTTAAACAAATTTTTATTTTTATAATTTAAAATAAATTTTATAAAAATAAAAATTAAATTTAAAAATCATTTATAATTTAAAAAATTAAAAAAATAAAAATAATAATAATAATAAAGCAACACTATTTTTTGGAGTTGCTACAGTGCAACACCAAAATTGGCATTGCACTGTAGCAACGCCAAAAAGTGGCACAACATTTGGTGTCGATTGGAGACAACCGACGCCAAATAAGGCAACCCAGCGCAATTAGCTGGGTTGGAAATGCTCTTAGTCATGTGCATTGAAATAAGAAAAAATTAAATAAATACAATACAATACAAAAAAATTAGATCAAGATGCTTTTATATATATATATATATATGATATTGAAGTTTCAATGTAAATAACTATATTTAAAACTAGTTTAGCATATCAATAAGACAACATAGAGAATCAACCATCTACTAAGTTGGCTGCTTTCAACATAAAAATTATATTGTAGCTTCAAAATTGAACATCAAAGTTCTATTGTGGTTTTCACAAAAACTCAATAACACAAAGAAGAAATAAGCATCGTAATACCTAAACCCCAAAATGGAACTGAAATAAACGACTAAATTTCAAACAAGAAATACGCATTTTTTGCATAAGCAGCCGCTGATGTGAAGTTATAAAAACTTCACAAAAATGTCTAAACTGTAAATTGGAACTTAAATAAATGATGAACTGAAATATGCAAATTTGAAGTCGAAAATTTGAAGTCGAAATTGACATTCAATTCAACCATCTCGAATTTGAAATCGCCAAAATTGAAATTGTCCAAATCAAAAAAAAAAAAAAAAAACTAGCACAAATCAAAATCGAATTCAAATTTGGATTTCAAAATCGAAATCTCTTCTGAAAATCACCAAAATTTCTATTTTTAGAAATATGTGTTTTCGATTGCTTCAGAGAAATCAAGATTCTAAGGTTTGAAAGCAACTCTCCAATCTATTG